AACAAAATGCATTTAATGCAAGTCTTATTCTAGTTGAGGCAATGTGACAAGAAATCTTTAGACGACCCAATCCTTTCAAGTAAAAATAGCAATGGTACCAAATACAGCCTTTTGTCTCCTAAATCAAATGAAAATGCAGCGTAGGTGCTGCATCATTTATAACGTGTATAGTAGGTTTCAGACAAAACAATATATAAAATTGCCCTCTATTGATCTTGATATGTATTGTTTTATAATTCAAGTTAAAAAAGTAGGTCATATTCTTTAATGACAATTAACAAATCAAACCTAATTTAGTTTACTAAGTCAAATAAAAATAATCCAACCCAAAAACTTTTAATATTTGCCATGATAAAGTAGGTATGGTGTCACAACACAAAGTCCCAAATTTTTAGCTTTATGCTATGAACTCAATAGTGTTTTGGCTATAAATAATTACATTTTTAAAACAATTGTTACTAAATTATCAAAATACTTATTGGGTTCGTTTTAGTTTTTGAGGCTGTGTTTGGTAAGAGTGCAAATGAAGAACTAGGGTGATATAATATGCATTTCGGTTCAGCTTTGCAATTGTTTGGTAAGAAGATATCTTTGCATGGAAAATGAAAGTGAATTTGTTTTTTTCTTATGCATTTGCATTCAAATGGAGGGCAAAATCTATGATGCAAAAATTGCATCATGAAACAAAATTGTGAACTAGTAAGAAAGTGAAACATCACACTTAATATTTTTAAGGGAAATTTCACTTTAGTATCCTTAACTTTGAGGGTAGTGTCAAGTTAGTACCCAAACTTTTAAATGTGTCACTGCAGTACCTAAATTTTCAAAAAGTGTCAAGTTGGTCCATATCATTAACTGACTGACCATCAGTTATCTGTTGAAAATATCAAAACTACCCATCAAAAGAAGTTGTTCATTGTCTTCTACCTTGATGGCTTGATCAAACTGAACCGGTTGAGGTGTTTGAAATTCTAGACTAATGAAGTCATTGTCTTCTAACTTTAGGTCTGAAAGATATTATTGTCTAGTTATTTCTTTGCTTTCAGTTATTGTTTTATTTTATCACATTTTATGTTTTTTCTCTCTTTTTCTTTGAAGATAACCGGTTCAATCTCAAGGTAGAAGACAATGAACAATGTCTTTTTTTAGGGATAGTTTTGGCATTTTCAACAGATAGCTGATGGTCACTTGACAGCAGAGACCAACTCGACACTTTTGAAAGTTTAGGTACTGCAGTGACACATTTGAAGGTTCGAGTACAAACTTGACACTACCCCAAAATTCTATGGTACTAAAGTGTAATTTTCCCTATTTATAATGTTGTTAATGACTTAATGTAATTGGTAAATATACTTTCTAAATTGTGGACCAATGAGAAGATAAGTGGAAATATGATCACTTTAATATGTTTGGTTATTTTTTTTTCTGTATCGTTTAGCTTTTGCTTTGCACCGTTAATTGGACTCAAAATCAGAGTAAAGTTTACTTAAAATAGGGGGAGTCAAACTTGTACACTCATATGTAAAATGCTTGTGCATAATATTTTACCTACTAGCAATAGCATATTCAAGCCGAGCTAAGCCAAATAACTAGCTATTTGAGCTCAGCTCGCCAATGTAGTACAAGGTTTGAACTTGGTTCAAGCTAGAACCTTGAGCTCGAGCTCGACTTGAGTCAAAAGCTTGTAAGCTCGAGTTCAACTTGAGAAAAATGTTTTATAAAAATATAAAAAATTATATATAAAAATATTTTTATTTGATATTTAAAAAATTAAGAATTATAATAATAATAATAATAATAATAATAATAATAATAATAATAATAATAATAATAATAATAATATTATTATTATTATTATTATTATTATTATTATTATTATTATTATTATTATGTAGTTATTCGAGCCAGTTCACGAGCCTTACGAGCCGAGCTTTATAAGGCTCGAGTTTAGCTTGATTAATAAACGAGCCTATAAATTAGGCTCGAACTCGAGTTGAAGCTCGATTGAAACCGAGCCGAACTGAGCTTTTCATAAACCGAGCTCGAATAACTTGCGAAGAGCTCAGCTCGTGACCACCCCTATCTACCAGAGCCAAACTACAGTCCATGCAATTTAAATCTACTAACTACTTGATTTGTGGCAATATTGCTAAGGATCTTCTACATCTTTTGTTCATATGTCATGGCGTACAACCAATATGGTGTGGCTTGTTTTTCAGATGTAGCAAACTTTATTGCCTTATGGTAGAGTATGGATCATGAGAATGACAACAAGAAAGATGATTGGTTGTATGATTACTTTAGCTTTCAATCCAATGAAAGTAATTATAAAAGCATATATCATATGTTAAGGGCTTGGAAAACTAAAAAATGCATACCCTTTGGCAAGCTCCACAATTGGGCTCATTAAAAGTCAATATTGATGTTGTTGTAGGTTTAGAGGACATTTCCACTGGTCTAGTTGTTCAGGACCACAATGGTGCTTTTTCTATTTGCTAGGTTAGTAATTACCCTCCTTGTGATCCTCAAATGGCTGAAGCATATGCTTTTTATGAAGTCATTTCCTTTGCCCTAGAAATGGAGTTTTTAGATTTATATTTAAAGGTGATGCTCTCACAATTGTCAAGCCTTTGTCGGTGGAGACTTTTGATCCCCATTGGAGACTAATAGATTGGTGATCAATTACATGTGTAAGGCCGACAATGATGATGGTCTAAACCTTAAAATCCACGGAGTTGGCTTGAGTGGATGAACCGGGAAGGGGGAAGGGAGGAAAAGAAAGTGGCTGAACCCTAGAGGGGCTGCCTACTAAACCTGTTCATGGACCGGGCCGGGTTTGGGTCGGGCTTTGTATATTTATCAATAGAATACACTTAAGCCCGAGCTCGAGCCCAGTCCAACCATCGGTTCTAAGTCTTGAGCCCAAAGCCCGGGCCCAAGTTTGAGTCTAGCCAGAAATTTGAAAATAGAATTTTTTTCTTTTTTTTATTCAATAAAAAGTGTTTTATTTATATTAAGAGCCTTCAAAACTCAAAAATAATAAACATCTCACTATTACTTGGAAAAAAGAGAAGAAGAACAAAGAAAAATATTGTACATATATATATTTATTTATTAAATAAAATATATTTCTTATTTAATATATAGTATCAAGTCAGGTTCGGGCTTGGGCCGAGCTTTTTTGAGAAAGCCCGAGCCTGGCCAAAAAAAAAAAAGTCAAGCCTGATGCTTTAGGCCCGAGGCCAAGTCCATAGGCCTAAAATTATGACCAAGCCTAACTTAATAACAGGTCGGGCCAAGCTAGCCCGTCGGGCTACTTGGCTCATGAATAGATCTACTGCTTACATACTTTGTGACGAGTGATTAAACCAATATAGTTCACGGAGAAAGCCCGAAGCCTTGCCCCAAAAAAAAGTCGGGCCAGATGCTTTAGGCCCGAGGTCGAGTCCACAGGCCTAAAATTATGACCAAGCCTGACTCAATAACGGGCCAGGCCAGGCCAGCCCGTTGGGCTACCTGGTTCATGAACAGGTCTACTGCCTAGATACTCTGTGACGAGGGATTAAACCAATATAGTTTATGGGAGCTAAAATTCCGATGAAAAGAGGGAAAAAAGTGAAAGAAAATGGTGGATGACTGCATAGGAAGATGGAAAACGGCTAATATGGATGAACGAAGAAAGACATGGATTGGCTGAAATGTCCAGCACTAAAATTTAATTAGTAAAATGGACCGAAATGACCTGGGCTGGCTGATCGTATACTTATATAATGCCACCCTGGAGCTTACTTTCTCATGCCCACAGTGTGGCGCGTCATGACTTACTCTACATAGCACTCATACTTGTCTATGACCCCTTCATTCTTAAAAGAATTATTGCAAATTTGCAATCTTTAACTGAGTCGTGGAATGCATTTAGCCTTAGGCTAACTTTCTAAAAAAAACTTTTACACTCAAATTTGGTCAATAGAAAAAGCGATAGATTGTGGTCTTGAAATTTGTACGTATACTTTTCAAGACCAAACACAATACAAATTTTATTAACTTAAATTAAATTAAGCTTGCTTTCTCAAATTTTGACCAAATTTGCATCGGCATCAATACATATACGTTTTACACTTTTTCTAAAGAGAAATGTAGAGTTCAGTCCACCTCAAAGAATTTTATTATTTTTTCTGTTTTATTTATTTATCAAACACCCCAACTATGATTCACTACCCCTTGAATTTTGATTCATTCCTCCATCAGTCCCATCTTCACTATTTCCACCTGTGAAAAAGTTTATGGGGTGTGTATTGAACAATAAAAACCCCTTTTCTGAAAGCAACCTTATGGTCCAACCCTCAAAAGCAAAAGCTTATCCAAATTTTGATTTCAGTACTTCTCTCAGACCACCCTCTCCCTCTTTTACTTATGCCACAAATAAACCATTTCCGGCTTATTTATTTATTTTTTTTTCAAATGACTATCCATTTTTAACTTTGGACGCTTTTCACATGAAAACAAACACAGCCTTAGTCTTTAGTCGAGGGGGGGGAATCTGGAATCTGGGACTGGGATGTAGTGGTAGCTGATCTTAAGGATGGGATCCTAATGTATGCTATCTTTGGACGTCGACCGTCGAGAGTTGCGTGTACAGGAGTTGGGATTCCATCCGAGACCAGACATCTAATCGTTCGCTTGTTTCTTTTGTCGTTGTCGTCTTGTCGACATACGGGCGTAATTCTGGAGCGACAAGCGCATTTGTGACGCAAAGAACGGGTCGAGATTAGTTGTTTGTGTTGAGTCTCCTCAATTCCTATTGACGAAGTTTCCCAGGATACGAGAGGAGAAAAAAGCATAAGAAAAGTAATCGTTCCGCACCTCAATTCCTATTGACCAACTTTGAATCAAGCTTTTCAACGCGGCTACGCTACGAAAAGCTGTTTCTGACTTTCTATTGTCAATCTCCGATTCCTGGATCTAAAGCGTTTGACAGAAACCAGCACAGAACTCAATCCTAATATGAAATTTTAGACATTTATATTTGCAATTAATAAAAAAAATCCAATTAATTTGTATATATATAATGGGAAAAAAGTCAAAAAGTAACGAAAATATTTACAGGAAGAAGAGTGTTTCTGGTTCTGGTTCCGTCTAAGACAGAGACATTCCGTGGAAGGAACTACCGTGTAAGGCGGAGAACAGGAAAATCAGGTCATCATCGTAACCGTCGTACGACTGCTCCATCTGAAACTGGCATTGTTCGAACACAATCTTGTCGCCCAGCACGGACCGCCGGCAGAGCGGACATGTGGCCTGCCGCTGCTGGAGCCATTTATCCAAGCAGTCCTTGTGGAACTCGTGCTTGCATCGCAGCTCTCGCACCTCTTCTCCTTCCTCGAACTTGGATAGGCAAACGACGCACTCCTTGGGCTCTCCTCTGCCTCCGCTCCGGTAACGAACCGCCGGGTGCTTTTCTTCCACCATTGCGAGGTACTGGGCCGTCGAGACCGGACATTTCTGGAACCGCCAAGCGCTCCCTGCCGCGAATTTGATCAGGTGGGCTATTTCCATTAACAGATAGAAGGAGAAGATGGTCAGGGTGTAAAGGTTCGACACCAACTCCGACCACGATCTCATTGTTAGTTTCATCTTCTTGCAGAGCAGAGGAGGAACCGGAGGAATGGATCAATGAATGATGAATCCAACTTCGCAAAAATATAAAAGCGACTAATGTCGAATGGGGTTCGTTTCTCTCTCTCTCTGCAGTTATATTTGAATTGAAGTCATCAGTCATCTTCACATCTCTGGTTTCTTTGACAGCGACATGGCGGGTGGGCCATGGGAGTTGGGTCAGTGGGTGGGCCGTCTCCGGTCCACTTGTTAATTGGAAATTTGTGTGGGCGAGGGACTATTGGAACTACAATGCTACGCCGTTCTTGCCGTTGGATTTGTCAACAATTTCACTCATCAAACCATCCGATCAAAATAACAGGTGGACTCGTAGATCGTACAGAATCGCTTGGATTCTTCTACTGTTTCACAGCAGGATACTGGTCTAGATCTGGACACTTGCTCTTCAATTCTGGTGTCTATCTTCCGTAGTATAGATATTGGAGGTTGGTGTCGTAGCATTATTTTTTGGGGTTTGGTGCCAAGTAACTGGCTCAGTTCATTGAATTAGTTAGGTAGAAACTGGTAAGCACTAACTAAGCAGCCAACGGATTTGGCTTTACGCCTTTACAGTTTTACATGGAAATTGGAAAAGAATTTGTTTCTTTGATTGAGCATGAAAGCAAAAATACTCTGGTTTCAAACGTAGCAGCTTTCACCGAAAATATGCTGGATTTGTACTCGGGTGCGGGTGGAAAGTTAAGCAATTTATCCATCCTTCAAGAGAATATTGGTTATCTGATTAATTTATTTTTTTTCATGAAAAATTAGTTTATAACGAGAAAGTTGATCAATTATTTAGTGGATCAATTTACCTTCGCGAGATTTTAATAAATAGAGGTGTAATTCAGGCTGGCCGTGCTGCCCGCGGCTGGCATGACCTCAGCCGATGGCCATGGGCCCGGTATGATTTTATGGGCTATATTGGGTTTGGGGTTTTAGGTTCATGGGTTGGGCCGTGTTGTCATATTAGTATATATGTATACATACAACATATACACACACATATATATATATATATATATATATATATATATATGTATATATATATATATATATATATATTTTCTGATGTGGACAGTTGGTTTTGTTTCCTAAAGCATACAAATCATGTTGTTAAACAACCCTTAAAATTTTAGGGTTTATTTGGTTTACAGTCGGAATCGGAATCCTTTGAAATGGGAATTGGAATGGTCAATTTCCATAATATGTTTAGCTCAAGCAAGAATGGGAATGAAAATTAGAATCAACATGAATGAGATTTCATTTCCAAAGGAGGGGCAGGAAATGACCATTCCCTCAAATAGGAGAATGCTATTAGGGGTGGATTCGAGCCGAGTCGAATAGTATGAGGCTCAAGCTCGGCTCGCCAAGGTTGTATAAGGCTCGAGCTCGAGCTCGAGTTCGGTTTGAGTTAGAATGTCGAGCTCAAGCTCGACTCAGTTCAAGCTCGATTTGAGGAAAAATATTTTATAAAAATAAAAAATTATATATAAAAAATATTTTTTATTTGATATTTAAAAAATTAAGAATTATAATAATTTTATTTATATATATTTGAGCTCGGATTGCGAGCCTCACAAGTCGAGTTCTATTAGGTTCGAGCTTGGCTCGTTTATTAATTGAGTCTATAAATTGGGTTTGAGCTCAAGCTTGAGCTCGATTGAAACTGAGCCAAATTGAGCTCGAGCAGTTCGTGAAAAGCTTGACTCGTTGCCACTCCTAAATACTACTCCGGCAGAAATGAGATTCCAAACCCATATTCCTGCAAACCAAATGGGGCCTCAATTTCATACTTTCAATCGAACTTGAGCAATTCGTAAAAAACTCAACTCGTTGCCACCCCTAAATGCTCTTACAACAATAATGAAATTCCAAACCCATATTCCTACAAACAAAATGGGGCCTTGATAATTTTTGGAGAGACACCAAATGACAATCACAACTATCGGGTCATTGCCGACAAACAGCTGCATTGCAACCAGCCCAGCCCTGTGTCGTTTTCAGCTCTATTCTCAACAGATTTTCACAAATTCGCAGGTACACAGAATTGGTTACTTTGATAGACAGTCCAAGCTGAGTTTAGCTTCAACTAGTGTGTACATTCATCATATGGACATGGACCACAGGTTACTCATGTCCTTAACTTCAACTAATTGTCGGATTTACTTTACTTACCCACAAGAACGCCACCCATTGTTTTCAAAACCTGATTGAATCGGACGGTCGGATCAAAAAAATTGGGAACGGTCATTAGGCCGGTTTTGTTTTTCTCCAATACTGTTTTTTTCTTTTAAAACTGTTGATTTTGATCAACAAACCGTTGAATCGGCTGATTAATCGTTTGACCCGTTAGAATGGTTTTGATCGTTTTTCAAAATTTTTAATTTATTTTGTCAGAACGGGCTGGCCGTTCGGCTTGAATAGTTGGACCGTTTGAACCAGTAACTGGACCCCTGACCTATTTGGTTTTAAAAACCATGACGCCACCCATAAGTCACTTGCAGCCGGAATTGCTTTCACCATTGGTTTTTGGGTCAGTGGTTCAACCATCCAGTTTGAATAAATGATTTATTCTAAGTGAATAAATAAAAAAAATTAAAACAAAAATACCCAAAAACTATTATTCAGGTCAAATGGATTGATGATTCAACCACCTATAGGTTATTGATCAAAATCAATGGATTTTGGTCAAGGACCGAGTTAAGGATGAAACAGAACGATTGCCTAAATAGTTTCTGGGCCAAACGGTTTGACCGTTCAAATCAACACGGTTCAAAAACACTACATTGTAGATATGCATTGAACAGATAATGAATAAATACACCGATATTTCACATGGTTGGGTGAGTTTTTATAACCTAAAACATTGGCGTGTTCACTTGTGATTGGATAGACAATCTCCTCATAAATGACATAGGGGCAGGTAGCGTTCCTTTGAGCAGTAGATGCAGCGAGTTGCCTTTGGTAGGAACGTCATAATGAGAATACTCAAAATTAATTAAACATCATATGTACATTCACTATGCTTTCACATGTATTCAATTAACGGTGTTCGCACCATTTTCACATTAGGATAGTTTGGTAATTACACCACCACAAGTACATCTCTAATACTTGTGCGTCGTTTGTTTATTGGTAAATTGGGGGGGAAGGGGAGTTTATCAATGTGAAATTTGATCAATTTTCTTGTATTCACTTGAAAAATTGTATGGGTGTCATGATAAATAAACTTCATCCAAATAAGTTTTTGATCATTTAGGTTGCGTTTGTTTGTAATGTAAGCACAAATATGTACATTATATATTTACTTATTTTTCAGTTCATCAATGTAAACATGGTTCACATTTTAAATCGTTTTTGCATTCATCTTATTTGTTTGAAATCAATGCAAAAGTGTGGACCCATCATTAAATGCTCCAAATATCATATGTTTTAATGCCTTAACTTTGGTAAAAAAGTTAATTATCAAGAGAATGCGAAATTGTATCCAAAAAATAGGTACAGTAATGCTCTCTTTTCAGAGTACTAAAATGTCAGAAAATGCATTTTTGCTCTGATAACCATTATTTTTTTACGTATCAAATAAATGCTGACAAATGCGAACTGGAGTACATAAATACCCCGATTCAGTATTTGTATCACAAACAAATGGAGCCTTAGTTGAAAAAGACTTATCCTTCTTTGAAGTAGGTAAGTTAGACATTTACCATAAATGAACGAAGCCTGAAGACATACATTCGTCTTTGACAGATTAGGCCAAGAAGTACTGTCAAGTATTCTTCTCATCTTAAGCGAATTTGCACTTGGGTTTAGTTGTCTAGGTGTTTAGGCTTAGTTGGAAGGAATACAAATACAAATATGTATAGTACAAATTCATACAAAATAATACAAAATATAAGATTCTGCGCTCTACATATTTGTATTTGTACTCTTTCCAAACTAAGGCTCAATTTGGAAGGAATACACATATAAATATGTATAGCATAAATGCATACAAAATAATATACAATAAAAGGTAAAAATACATCTTTGTGTTGGAACGAAATGAAAATAAGTTTTTAGTTATTGGGGGTATTAGTTCCTCGTCTCATAATTTTTTTATGAATTTGTACAATTGGAAATAATGATAGGTGGAGGAATTTATCAAAATACAATAGAGATACTATAGCATAGGTGGGAATTTGATAAAATAAAATAAAAAAACAATTAAAATATATGAAGGGGTCAAACCATAAATTTCCCATTTCTGACTTTTTTTTGCATTTTAAAATAACAGAAAATTTCCATTATATTTGGCTATAAAACTAAGCATTCATTAACAAACTACAAATGGAGGGGCACAAGGTCGAGTTGGGAGGGTGTTGGAATGCATATTGTTGATAGGTGATTTGGACTCCACTAACTCAATCTCATGTTCTTTTTTTAGATTTATGTGGGGATTAGAGAAAGTTTATTTTCTTATTCGGATAAGTGGGTAAGTGATACCCATCTACTATGTGGGTAAATAACTTCCCCACTTAAGGGAAAGTTGTCAACACTTGAATAGAACAAAAATGTCCCTTTTAATAATGAACTTTTATAGTTAAAATGGTTATTGCCTTATTTACATGAGAAATAAAACAACATGGGTAAATGCACTTACTCAGATAAGTGTTTCTTAAAAAAAATTATCCAAATGCATTTAACTAAATGAATTAGTAACTTGCCGAAAAGCGAACGAGGCCTTATTAATAATAAATTACTAACCACTATCATATCATTTTACTTCGACTGGATTGGTTGATTGAACCGGTGACTTGGTGACCCAACGGCCTTCTGAGATCTTGATCAAATGACAGTTTTTACGGTTTGAATCATGATTCAAAGTATCGATACAATATGCTCGATATAGGATGTATCATATTGTATCTTTTGAAAAAGTTTCCAGATGTTTCGAACTATTTTCTAAAAAATCAAAATATGAAAAAAAACTAAAAAAAATAAAGTTTCGGTCATTTCTAAGTACGGATACGATTATACTTTGAACCTTGGTTTGAATGGACTAATAAGGTGGTTAATTGGTAGAGTAGAAGTAC